GGATGTTGCCTGCCATTCCGTTTCACTGGTCGTTTCTGCAGCCATAGAAACAGGAAGTCAAGGAGCCCACGATTACCCACCCCACCCCACCCCAGCCCCACTGTGAATGAGCATGCCTGCGGCTGGCATGGCATGGCAGAGGCCGGGGGCCGCGTGCTGAGTGCTGTGAAGGCACCGATATCACACGGTGCCGCAGGAAGGGAGAACAACCAACTGACTTGCTGCGAGAAGGTGGGAGCTGCGGAGGCAGAGAGGATTCCTCACTTTGCCCCTGAGCCCGCAAGAGCTTGTACCGCTCCCCCTCACCGGTGCATGAGCACTGCTGGGTGAGGTTCCCTGACTCGTTACCCCTAAAGGGAGTGCGGAGTGGAAGGGAGGGCGCCAGCATATGGGCTTCGTGCATCTTGGCTTGGTGTCCCCAAAGTGCTGTCTTGTGCCAGGTCTCTGGCACTACCCCTGCTCACGATCCCATTGGCATCTTTGACTCAGGGCGTAGGGCAGGAGCTCGGGAACCAACCCATCTGGTGAGTCCCAGCCCCTTCCCAGCAGAGGGACCGGAGTCTGGGCAGGTTCCTTAGCTCTTCAGTGTCCTCTTTAGGGAAGTGAGGGTGCTAGCACCTCCCCCCTAAGGCCGTGGTGAGACCTGGTTTGGAGAAAGTGTGTAGGAAACCAGGACAGCATCCAGGATGTGGGACAGTCTGTAAGGGACACTGGTGTTTTATGGGGTGCAGTGGGCTGCTGTTGTGAGTGAATGCCTTGGGAGAGAGGAGCCCGGCAGGTTGGGGTGCTGGGAGGGACGTGACTGGCGGACACAGGGAGCTCTGGTGGAGACTGGCTTGGTGGCCAGTGTCTGATACATGCTGGGTCTGGTGGCCACTCTGCCGAAGGTGCCAGTGGAAGGAGAGCCCCACGGGGATGCAGCAGGGACCCAGTTCCAGGGACCTGAGCCTTCAGGCAGCTTTTGCCAGTTCAGATGGACCTAACAGGAAGGGTCCGAGGCTGGTCTGCCCTGCAGCCGCTGGGGCTTTATGCTCATGCTAATGAAAAGTTGTGTGGGGGTGGCTTGCCCGTCACTGGAGCATGTGGGGATGGTGCTAGGCTTGGAGCCCGGCCCAGAGGCCACCTGTTCTGCAGACCTTAGGCTCGGGCGTCCTCCCAGCTGGTCTCCCCCGAGAAAGCCTCTGAGGAGTTCAGTGCCCTGAGATGCTTTATTGTGTGTGACCTTCACCTGCAAGCTCTCTGCCTGGAAGATCCTCTGCCCCGGAAGGGCTTGTGATTCTGTGCTCTGGGATGGCAGGTCATACCTCAGGCAGCTTTAGCACCCACCCCTCGCTGAGCTGCCCAGGGTTCTGGGCATCCATTTGCTGCAGCTGCCAACCAGGACTCCATCTGCTAGTTGTCCTGTAACCGGCAACTACAGACCTGGCATCTTAAAACAGCGCAGGTTATTATCCAAAATGGGTCTTTTTTTTTTTTTTCCATTAAGTTGATTGGTACATTTTAGGTATACAGTACAGTTACATTCATCATTGGGATCTTGTACCTTTACATGATGTATCTTGGTTCTTAATTTTTCCCCATTCCCCTGCCCTCCCTTCCCTGTTTACAAAGACTTCCATGTTTTTCCTTTTCTCATATTTTTCTTTTCCCTTCTTTCCTTTCCCCTTCCCTTCCCACTTCCCCTCCACCTTTGGACCTTTTCCTATTTCAAATTATCAATTATTCATTTTAATCATTTTAACCCTTATTTA